TTGGGAAACACTGATCTATCATATAAGAATAGGTTTCTATTTTTATAGATTTTATATTTTTATTGTTAACCCTTAAAGTGCTGATCTGTTTTACAATGAAGACATGCAAAAATGAAATAACAATGTTCATGTTTAGAGGCTAAACTACCACATGCATCTTAAGGGTTAAGATATTTCACTTAGACATTTTCCTCCCTTTGTACTGTATGTTCTTTTCTGGTCATTTAACTTCTCACTGGTCTGTATGACCTATTTGGATAGATTGATATTCTTATTTCATGTTAAAAGAGTCAGAAATGAGAGGGTTGTAAAATGCTTTTCTGATGCATCACTTATCTTTGGAAATAGGATAGCTATCTGTTTTAAAGACCTTTAGTAAAATCATTAAATATAGAAACCCTTCAGAATAGAAGACTTAAAAAGTAAAGTAGCAATTGTACATAAAACACTGAATCATAATGCTCCTTCTTCCCCATTGCTATTAAAGCATGGAATGGGTTGCTTAAGTCAGCCAAGAAAACAAATGACCTGGCATCATGAAAAAATTAAGAAACTATAACAGACACAAAATAGCAGTGAGATTCATAACAAACGAATATTCACAGTTGATTAAAGTAACACAGTAAAATCACTAAATTCAGGACAGAAGACTTAAAAGTAAAGTAGCAATTATACCTACAATATACTTAGAAAGACACAAAGATTAAGGCATATTTTTCGTTCCATATGCTAGGACAAATTTGTACAATTACTCCTTCTTTCCTAGTGCTATTAGAGCAAGGAATGGGTTGCCTGAGCCAGCCAGGAAAACCAAAGACTTGGCAGAATGTAAGTCATTGATTAATATGCATGACTAGATTGACCTAGGAACACACATAGGGTGTTACCTAATCATCTTCTTTTTGATGTAATGTCTGTATTTCATAAGATAAGAAAAGACAAACAGAATCACTTCACATTCTTTATCTGCTTAAGGTTGTTATTGTTTTGTTGTTGTTGTTTTTTTTGTTTTGAAAGTTGCTTTCACAGCTATTTCTCAGGATTAAACAAACCTTAAAATGTAATATTTTGACTGTAAAACCTTGAACACGTCTCCTTGATTTTGCTGTGAACAATCTCTGGGGAAAAAAAATCTTTTTATCACTAGTTATTGTGATTTTACATCATTATATGCATCACCAAGCAGCCTAAAGTTGAGGAAAATGAAAATGACTCTGGGGGTAGGGAAATTGTTTAATACCAAAAAAAGCAGTCTGGAAAATATGAAATTATTCTGTTAGTTTTTGTAAATGTAGGACTACTAGGTTTCTATAAATCTTGGCAGAATCTCAAAGTTCAGAGTCAAATTAGTTTTAGTCTAAATTACACCCAATTCTTTCACGAAATACACGTCTATTACATTGAACCATTTTACTTGGATTCAGACAGGAGCTGATCTCCTCGCAAAGACATGAGATGGGGATAGAATGGTTTCAAGATTTTCCCATGGAAACTCGATGGGTCAGTCCAGACACCATTTATGCCTTTCAGCCGGAATATCCAAAATGTCTGATATGGATGAAAGCGCGGGGCCACATAGGTAAAAAGGAAATTGTTTTGTATTGGTTCATTCTTCATTAGTTTAATTCTATCTCCTTGTCATTTCTTTTGCTTTTTTCATTTAAATTTTTTTTATAATCATTTCTTGTTGTCTTGGCGTGTGGTTATATTTATATTGGTAGTTACTGAAGCAAACTCTTTCTACTAGCCGACATTTGATAAATTTTCAATTATCAAATTTTAATTTGTGCTATATTTGTTAAAGTGTTTATCTAAATTTAGCCCTTACCAGTAAATGCTTTGCTCTTTATATGTCATCCTATATTCTCTTTTTCTTTATACATGTCTTCTATCTATATGTCTTCATCTGTATGTCTTCTATCTATAGAAGAAAACATTAAGAAACTGGAACAGACACAAAATAGAGCAGTGAGATTCATAACAAATGAATATTCACATTTGACTAGAGTAATACCTATAGTAAAATCACTAAATTTAGAAAGCCTTCAGGACAGAAGACTCAAAAGTAAAGTAGCAATTATACATAAAACACTGAACCATAATCTTCAAATACAAAAACAAAATCTAATAAAATACTCTGAAAGACACAAAGATAAAGGCACATTCCTCGTCCCATATGCTAGGACAAATTTGTACAAATACTCCTTCTTCCCTAGTGCTATAAGAGCATGGAATGGGTTGCCTGAGCTAACTAGGAAAACCAGTGACTTGTCAGAATTTAAGTCATTCGTTAATATGCATGACGCGTAGGACGTAATCATCTTCTTTTTTGAAGTAACGTCTGTATTATATAAGATAAGATATGTCTTCTATCTATGATCTGTTCAGTTTTTTTGGTGACTTTTTTTTTTTTTCATCTTGATCATCATTGTCATCAAACTTCAGTCGAGTGATGGCTTGAAAGGCTTAAATCCTCTCTTGAAAAAGCCCTGGACAGAATCCCTGCTGTCATGCATAGTGCATGGATGTCATACAGGTCAAGCAGGGCCAGCCCTAAGAATTGTGGGGCCCTTTGCGAAATGGATTGGGCGGGGCTCAGTCTGGGCAGGGAATGGGTAATAAGTGAAAATTAAGATTTTGTAATAGAAAATAAATTTGTGTTTCCATTTATTTGTTCTTTACTTAGTACAAAATCATGATTAAGTTAACTTTAAGAGACTTGCATGTAGCGAAATCATACAGTATATCATCAAAATTCTGTTTCCTACATTGTTCAATCTATCTTCATGAATTGTTTACTTCAAGTAATTGAATTACACCCCAATATAACAATTTGGTCTATTTTTCTGGAGATTTTTATGATTTCAGGAGATTCCCTTAAGCCCATGGAAAATCAGGAGGCTGCTGGAACCCTGTAATATAAGTTATAATGGTTCAATTTAAGAATTAGCCCAAGGACTATGAAAGTGCAGGGCCCACTGCTGCCGCATAGGCTGCAGTGGCCTAAGACCGGCCCTGAGGTCAAGAGCTTTTGGTTTCCCAGACCTATCGAAATGGAGGTCAGCCAGTATGGGGCAATTGAAAAGAATATATGACATGATTTCCTCTTCCTCATGGCAGCGGATCGGATGCCTTGTATGTTGAAGTTGTGCAAAGTAAAAGTCAACAAGATAGTGGCTTATTCTGTGCTGTGATATTGTTGAATTTCTCTACTTACTTGTAGACACACAGACAAAATCAATTCAAAGAACTTGACAACTCAAATTCAAATTTTTTATTAATTTTTTATCATACAAAATAATGATTTGTCGCTGTACACAAATTACATAGAAAACTAAAATAGCTGCACTTTACAGTACTGGACCATACTGAAATGTACTTTTTCTCTCTGAATTATATAAGGTTTCCATAAATTTCTAAAAGCTCATAGAAACACTATGAGCTTGTCAAAAGTCCCAGCTTGAAGAGCATGTGATCATATATTGAGCAATTTACATGCTTATTGTTTATACATTCCAGAAATTTGCTGACTTCAGTCACATGTGCCGACAGGTAACACAGAGACCCCTACCTGTGTATCCAGTTCGCTCATAACACTATTACATTACTACAGTACCAACCCTGTCAGTTGGCATTCCTCATCTGCCATCTGGTTAGCATAGTGTTCTGTACCTTATTGTTTGAATTGTATAATGTAATCTTTGTGTGTTGTAACTTGAATGCTTGATGCTCATTATTTTAATTGATTGCTATTTCCCTAGGTAAAGATCTTCATCAAAATGTCCACAAGTGTTGCATTGCATATCTATGTGACATGCTGCTTCTACGGACATCTCTGATGTCTTTAAGTAGCACAGCTAACAGTGTTTTCATGGCTTCTTTAGATCATTCCATGTGGTTTCATGCACCTTGCCATGCAGACGAATGGATGCTGTTTGAAATAGAAGCTGAGAATACTGGTGTGTTGCTTTATTGACTTTAAAACTCACAGCGAAATATATATGACAGCAACTCAAAGTAACTGTATAAAATTTTTGTTGTAACAATGTATTTTAGGAAAAGAAAATGTTATAGGTAGAAAAGTTTTCAATGCCACCGCAATAAAGAAATTAGGATACCCATACCTCATGATCCAACCCTCAACCTTTCTGGCATTATTCAAATGAAGTTATGAACGTAACATTTGGGAACAACTCATGCGTAAGCTGTTGAATGCTACAGCTTAGGGTCTATACTTTTTTTCTAAGCGTTTTTTCTTGACGCCCCTTAAGGTATCATAATTCCTTTTTTTTTTATTACTTACAGCCCTCAATTGGTTGCTCTTTTTTAGTTAACTACATTAATTGTGGGTCTAGCCCTAAAAATTCTTATTGTTTATATAACACTATTATATGGCTACCTGGTTGTCAGATGTGCTCTTTGGCCTGCCTTCATGATAGTCACGTGTTCAAACTCTTCTTGATGCATTTCAGAATTCAATGTCCGAAGCATAGAAATCAAATATTATAGAAATCAAATATTATTTGTATTATTTATTGGCTGAGTTAAAACTTAATTTAACAAAGAAATTACTTATTTTCAACTTGTGTTAATCAAATTTGTGTATAGAATTCGGGTGAGAATTTTTTAAAATGTATATTTTGTTTTTCCACTCAGCCTATGACTTCCCAGCAAAAGCTAGGAATAATAGTCACATATATAAATAATTTAGTTTCCTCACTTACCCTCATATCAGACAAGATTTGTTCCAGTTTTCTAAGTTGTTTGGTGGTGTTATTTTTTTTGTTGTTTTTTTTGCAGTTCATTTTTTATACGCAATATTGTTTAATTTATAGGTGATGGCCGTACTTTATGTCATGGAAGAATATGGGACATAAATGGAGTCCATATCACTACAGTCTCTCAGGAAGGAGTGCTTAGAGTTAATTCCAACCTTTGATATTTTTATGTATATATTAGTGTGTGCTGTTACATGATAGAGATATATTCTGTAATACTCATTTTTTTTTTTTTTTTTTTATGATTTGTCAAATTGCTGAATTGAAAACTGAACAAAATTATTTAATACATTGCGGAAACTTGAGTAAACACAAGTTAGTTTAGATCAGAGAATTGAGTTGTTTATTTATCAGAGTTAGGGTTATTAATTATCCTCATGCATAAATGGATTAATTTAATATGGGTTAGTGTGAGCTGCTGTTAGCATGAACAATTTGAATGTTGATGCATATGTAAATTAATGTAATATGGATGGATCTGTGAAGGAATCTTGTTTGCATGAATATTAAGAATGTTGGTTGTGGGTGTCTGTTGTTAATTGAATGAGTAAAGATACTGATGAACTAGTGAACCTAAATTGCATTTAAAGTTAGTAAGTTAGAAATTTGTAATGAGAGTTGAAGTCAGGAGCTGTATAATAAACATAGATAAACATATAATAAACATAGAAATGTACTGGTCTTAATAAACCTTGAAGCTGTTAAATGAGTTTGGCTTGTCTTTGCTGTTGTTGAAGAATAAATTTAAAGTATTCAATCATAATACACAATTAAACCGTTTTAGATTAATTAAATTCTTAGTGAAATGAATTTGTAATTAAATAAATTTTTTTTATAAATATGCTTAGATTCAACTTGAAAGTAGGTTTATATAGAACCTAGATGTAACTACAAAAACAAGTTGAAAGCATGTGCATATAGAAACTAGATGTCACTACAAAAACTAGTCTTTTCTGCCTCAGGTCTCTAGAAACCTTTTTCTCAGCTATCTCATACGTGACATACTATCTTGTAGTTTCATCAGAAACTCTTCAGCCAAAAGCAACCGCCCCGTTGCCTCTTCATTACATGTCATCACAACTGAATTGGGTTCATTCAAAGTTTATTTCAGGTGCTCTAGCAATTTGTTTCTCAGAGCAGAAGATTTTCATTTCGTCTTTTGATGAGTACAACCTTCAAAATTTGTTCTAACATTTGACTGACTGGACTTCCATTTCTTTTTTTTTTTTCAAACCAGCATTTACATTTGTCTTCTTAATCTAGATGCCTCATAAAACTTTAGTACATTGTGTATCGTATCTCTTTGATCTTTGTGTTATCTGGATTCTTTTTATCATCCTACTTTTAATTAGTTCAGCAAATATCGTAAAATGTAGCTATTGGCTCTCTGTATTCATGTTAAGTATTCCTGTTATGCCTTTGATCAATTATTAAGTTGAAAGATTCATGATCTAAGTTTATAGCTGTACTAATGTGTTATTTATGATTCGTAGTGCAGAGACTACTGTAGATTAATAGAATATGCATCCTCTGATTGGAACCCTCAACTCAAGAAAATATTAAGAAACTGACACAAAATAGAGCAGTGAGATTCATAACAAACGAATATTCACATTTGACTAGAGTAACACCTTTAGTAAAATCACTACAATCAGAAAACCTTCAGGATAGAAGACTCAAAAGTAAAATAGCAATCATACATAAACAGTTAAACACTGAACCATGATCTTCAAATACAAAATTCAATAAAATACTCAGAAAGACACAAAGATAAAGGCGCATTCCTCGCTCCAAATGCTAGGACAAATTTGTACAACTGCTCCTTCCCTGGTGCTATTAGGACATGGAATGAGTTGCTTGAGCTAGCGAGGAAAAACAGTGACTAGGCAAAATTTAGGTCATTGGTTAATATGCATCTTATCTTATCCTATCTTATATGATACAGACGCTACTTCAAAAGCATCTCTTTTTTTAAGTAACGTCTGTATTATATAAGATAAGATAATTTTTAGATTTAATTTGCCGTTGGCTTTTTACAGGATCAGCGTCTCCAACTTTTTATGTTCCCATATCTGTATATATGTTGTATGCTTCACTGCCTACTCGTTTATACTGTTGTAAACCTGGTGGTGACACAGATGGGGGTAGCGCTGTGTGTTTTTAGCCTACCCAAATCGCCGCAGGACGAGCGGTCAACCGTGACCAGTGACAGTACACGCCAGTTCGGCAAGGACCAGTGTCGTAAATATTACGCACGCAAGTCACGGGAAAAGTGATCCACTGGAGTGGTCAAGAAAATTCGAGGCCAGTAGAGAGTAGTATAAGAGCGAGTGAATCACTTCACTTTACCTCGCAATGTGACCAATACGAAGCGAGAATCAGCACGGTGTGTGGAGTCAGTGCAGAGCAGAGACTAGGTTTTTGTAAAGACAGTGTTAATGTTGTTGCTAATTGCGATGTATTTGAAATTAAAATGATTGATACTTTGGAGCCCTGAGTTGTGAGGTTCTTTAAGTTCGTTGTGTCGTGTGGTGCAGTTTGAAGAGAGCCGGGATAGTAGGGGAGATTACGCACGCGCTGAAAGATGACAACGTTACCCTGAGTCGCGGTCCCCGGGAACAATGGATTCAGGGAGTGACTGTAGTCTAAAATATATCATGCGTGACGACAACAACACAGTCAAAATCACATGTACATTAACAATAACAATGATTGCCTGGTGGCATCAAGCTCCCCTCTCTTGTATTAATAATAATCTTTATTATCCATAAGGAAACCTGTCGTACAATTTGTGCATTACACCAAACAAAACATTATAACTAGAGACAACCAAAATATGCATTCACACCAGACTCACTCATAATTTAATTAGGCCTTCTTGCGAAAGCTTATATCTGATAGTTTCTATTTAATGATTTGATTGACGAGAACAAAAGAGTTTTTGTGTCTGTACACGCTTTGCTAACGGTGTCTTGTATCTTTTTTGTGATGGTAAAATCACGACCTTAAGGGTGAATTTTTATTTCTAGAATATTTTTAGCTTTTTAAATCAATGTTTGTCTCAAACAGCTGCCCAAATGTGATTTGTTTTTAATGACCTGCCGAACATTCTTCACTATAAGGGCTGCAATGTCCACGCTCAGCCGGGACAGATTACCGCTGTTTGCTGTCTTTCGCGTCATTGTCCTGCATGCAGCCGCCACTCTTTTTTTCTAGGTGTGGATTTCACATCTTAAGTTAATTAGGTTTTGTGAAACACTGTAACACTGTAAGGTATCCTGCCTGCGCAAGTTTTTTCTGTAGGCCTACCCGGTAGTGGAATGTTGACTGAGTTCACTCTTTAGGATATTTGTTGCCCACAGAGTTACCCAACAGTCCGAGGCCTGTGCATTACGTTAAACACTCTGCTGGTAATAGACATTTTAATTTTTTTTTCTTGAGCCATAGTCATGATAGGCCTAATAGTGCCTCAAAAGTGTGTGTGTGCGGGTTTGGGTGTGAGTTTTGTATTATTCATACTTGGTACATTTGTCATACACACATACACATATGTAACCTATATTTATACAGGGCCTAAATTGCTTAAACTGACAGAAGAGAGCACCTGGTTGCAGGGGACTTCAGAACGAGACATATGAAGGTCACTTTCAAAGGCCGCGGAATACACATTTGAGGCCAAAAGAAAATTTGCTGCTGAGGACAGATGTAGACGGCGAAAAGAAAATCTAGATCGACCAACGGCGGAAAATGATAATGCCTGTGCTAGATGTGGCAAGATATATGTAGGTCGCAGCTGGGGTTGCGTAGCCAAGGGAAATACTGCAGAATTTAAGTCATTGGATAACATGCATGACAAGATGCATGACTCGTAGGACGTAATCGTCTTCTTTTGTTTTGAAGTAACGTCTGCATTTTATAAGATAAGAAGATAATCTTTGGACTCAAAGACAAGCCTATTATTACACTGGGCAACAGCCAAAAAATCGTCGGGGGTTTCTCAGCTGATTTAGACTAATTTTGGTGTCCTGAGTCCGAATATCACATTGGTTTTGCTCAATCAGGTCAAATTTTTGAGCTATCTGACAATCTACACAATGGTAATAAACGCACAACAAAACACCAGCGATATCCACCATCGATATCTTACCAACATAGAAATTAATTTAGATCAATAGAACCGATATTAAAATAACATAAAATGATACAAAGACTACTGATTTACAAATATGTATATATAGGGCTTACTCTGCTGCTATTTCATTTACTAAAAAATAACTATCTAACTAATATCTAAAATGGCTTCAGCACGACGTTCAAGCACGAATAACCCTGACGTTTTCTGCTACATTTGCGGAGAGTACACACTGTCAGCTGATAGGATGAACATCACAAAATTTGTGAAACATGCCTACCAGGCTTACTTCGAAATCAAGCTGGGTGACCAAGACAAGTCTTGGGCACCGCACACGGTGTGCAAAACATGCGTGGAATACCTCCGGCGGTGGACGAAAGGCGAGAAAACATCACTAAAGTTTGGAATTCCGATGGTATGGAGGGAGCCATTTGACCACGCATCGGATTGTTATTTCTGTGCCATCAATACTGCAGGCATCAACCGAAAAAATCGGCGCAGCCTCCAGTACCCCGACCTTCCATCTGCTCGTCGTCCAGTTCCTCATTGCGAAGAAATACCCGTGCCAACGTTCCGAGAGATTCCAGGCAGCGACGACAAGGCCACCACTTCAGACGAGAAATGTGGTACAGAAGAGGAGTATGAAGCACAATATGGTCCGCAGCCCTTCACACAATGTGAGCTCAATGATCTAGTTCGGGACCTAAGCCTGTCGAAGAATTCCTCCGAGCTGTTGGCTTCCAGGCTCAAAGAGAAAAACCTGCTACACAAGGACGCGCGTATTACCTTCTTTCGTAGAAGGCATGAGGAGTACATGGACTACTTCTGCCAGGAGGAAAACCTTGTGTACTGCCGAGATGTTGCCGATCTTCTTGATAAACTGGGCGGTCCTCAATACGATGCGAGAAATTGGCGACTCTTTATTGACAGTTGCAAGCGTTCTTTGAAGTGTGTGCTCCTCCACAATGGGAACCAGTTTGCCTCAATCCCGCTTGCGCACTCCACGACTCTCAAAGAGAAATATGAAGCAGTGAAGTATGTGCTCGAAAAAATCCAATATCAGCAACACCAATGGATCATCTGCGTCGACTTGAAAATGGTGAACTTTTTACTTGGTCAGCAGTCTGGGTTCACGAAGTACCCATGCTTTATGTGTATGTGGGACAGTCGAGACAGAGCCCAGCACTATGTAAAGAAAGAGTGGCCGGCGCGAGAGCAGTAAGTACCTGGGGCGAGAAACATCATAAACGAACCTCTTGTTGACCGGGAGAAGATATTGATCCCACCACTACACTTGAAGTTGGGTTTAATGAAACAGTTCACGCGCGCTCTGGACAAGGATGGGAGGCGCTTCAACTACATGTGCCGAGCATTTCCTCAACTAACTATTGAGAAGCTGAAGGCCGGCATTTTCGACGGCCCACAGATACGGCAGCTCATAAACGATGCAGAGTTCTGTAGCTCCATGAACTCACTTGAGTGCGCCGCCTGGGAATCCTTTGTGCAGGTGATGAACAACTTCCTGGGGAACACTAAGGCAGCAAACCACGCAAGGCTCATCAGCACCATGATTGA